TTGGTTATTTTAATTTGATTTGACACCATAAATAAATATTAAACTAAAAAGCAAAAAGTCAGCTTTTTACCAACTTCCCAAATCACTTTCAAAAAAGCCAAAAAACTTGGTAAAAAGCCAAAAGCCAATTTTTTACCAACTTCCCAAAACAACCCAAGTGAAAACTGAATTTAGTATTTAAATATTTACTGATTTCTTCTCATATCACACGTTCCTCAATTTTCTATTTAAAATAATAATAAAAAATCACTAAAAAAATAGACTATTGTAAATTGAGCATAATTACCATTTACTTAACAGGACTAACAAGCAAAAAAGATAAATGATATAAAATATAATCATACATTTTAGGGTTATTTGAAAGTGACTCTTTTAAATGACTTTTTAAAATATTTTTAAAAAATACGTGTAAAAAACAGAAATAATTACTTTTTGCTGGGGACTTTTTAATTATTTTAGGTATTTCTCAAACTTACCTTATAAAAAAAAAGATAATAACATAATTTTTTTCATTAATATGACAGGTAATTATTAAGTAATCTCATAATATAGATACGTGATACTCCATAATATTGTGATTAGTGAAGAATGTGGGTAAATGGGGTATTTTGTTGGATGATTGAGGAACATGAGGTGATATAACACTACAATATATAAGAGTTTTAGAGACCAAATAATTTGATCTCTAAAAGTGAAAATTTTGTTGCAAAAGACATTTAGAGACTAATTTCTATTATCATGATGATAGTCACTAAAAGGTCGTCTTGAAAAGTTAAAAAAAAGGCTTTTAGTGACAAAATTTTGAAAATGTCACTAATAAATAGATTTTTAGGGATAAAATAATTTGGTCACAAAATGGTTTATTTTTTTAGACGAAAATTTTGGTCCCAAATAGATAATAATTCATCACTAATATTCAATTTTCTTTGCTAAAAATATAATAACTACATTTTTTGCAACAAAAAAAATTTGATTCTTAAAAAATAATTTTGTCCCTAAATTTTGGTCCCCAAGCCATTAATTTTTTGTAGTGTAATGAATTATAATTGGTTAGAGACTACGAACATGTGATACTCCATGATTATTCTACAATTATAATGAAAATAGACTAAACTTATTTGACTTACGAATTTATTATGAAAATAGACTAAATATTATATGAATTATGATTTTAAAGGGGCTCAATATAATTATACTAAACTTATAAAATCCATTGTATTTTTTTCAAATTTTCTTTTTTGAAAAAAGATCAATGTAATTTATTTATTTTTTTTAAACCAACGCCCAATGAGTTCTTTTATACATTTTTTTTTTGTGGAGAAAATTACAGATAAAACTCCAAAGTTTGACATTGTAACAAATAAAGTATGAGCTTTTAATTTTATCAATCTAAAGTCTAATCTTTTGATTGATTTTTAATCAAAACTTAAGGTTAGATTTTTCAATCAAAAGATTAGAATTTAAATTGACAAAATTAAAAAACATAAGGTTTATTTTGAAAAAAATTACAAAATAAAAAAAAACCCCAAAGTTTAAGCTTTATAACAAAATAAATCCTAAGTTTTAAATTTTATCAATTTAAATTTTTTTATTTGTTTTCAATCTAAATCATTTCTTTCTTTTCGGTAAGTAAAATTGATAAAAAAAAGAAGAAAAAGATGAAGGTATTTTAATCGTTAAACTCAATGAAAAAAATATTTTAGATATTTTATATATATCTACATTGAGTTTAATGACTAAAATATTCATTTTTTATCAATTTATTTAACGAAAATAAACAAATGATTTCGATTGAAAATAAATAAATAAAATTAAGATTTAAATTGATAAAATTCAAAATTCAAAAGTTATTTTTGTTACAAGAGTCCTGATTTTTTTATTTATAATTTCCCAATATTCTTTTATATTTTTATTTTTAACAACTTTTCTAAAAATTTATATTGTATTTTTTATTTGTTTTCAATCTAAATCATTTCTTTCTTTTCGATAAGTAAAATTGATAAAAAAAAAAAAAGAAAAAAAAAAGAAGAAGGTATTTTAATCGTTAAGCTCAATGAAAAAAATAATTTAGATATTTTATATATATCTACATTGAGTTTAATGACTAAAATACTCATTTTTTATCAATTTATTTAACGAAAATAAACAAATGATTTCGATTGAAAATAAATAAATAAAATTAAGATTTAAATTGATAAAATTCAAAATTCAATTTTTTTTTAAGACAAAATATTTTGTTTGCATTATTCCTTTATTTTTTTTTATAATTTTATAATTTTTTTTTTCCCTTTTTTCTATAGTATACTCGACTACAAGTGGTGTGAGCTTCTGCATTTTTCACCCAAAGTGGACTTTGTTGGAATTAAAAATGACTACAAAACAATCACTCGCACGAGTTTAAAAGAGAATTGGAAAAAGAAAAATACAAATCTTGTATTTCACTCATATCATTATCATTGCACTCTCTTACTCATTCTTTCATTACATGGGTTGCATAAATATAAGAATCTAACATGTAACTCACACACCCACATTAAGACCCATTAACTCTATTGTTATATTATTCTTTGTAACCATTAGCCCTGTTATTCTTTGTAACCATGAACACATTAACATACTACTAATGCCTTTTAACACACCATTAGGCACCATTACATGCCTGCCATTATTTCTCCATAATTAGCATAGCTAAATATAAAAAACTCATAAAATATTAAAACACAAGTTTACTGTTCAACAGATTTGACTTGAAATATACACTCCGTTTGTTTAGATGAATACATTTTCTGCTGTTTGATTTATCAGAAAACAAAAATCAACATAAAACATTAATCATGGTTAATAGAAAATAAATCTATTTAGATAGAAAATATTTTTTATTTTTAAAAAACAAAAAATGTTTTTCCGGAGCTAAGGAGGGTGGCAATCAAAGCTGGTTGTGTAAGGAGGCAAGGTTAAGATTTGAGATGTTACTATTTGAGGACCAAATTGAACTTTTATGATAAGATAAAATGTAATACAAAAAATATGAAGTGCCTAAAGAAAAAAGTAACACCACTCGTTTGCTCATGGTGTATTATGGTACTTCAACTATGACTAGGAAGAATTATACTACCAGTCTCTTTAGTTTTGAATTTGTATTATTTTGATATTTAATTTTTTAATTGTGATATGTTTAACATTAAATTTTGAATTTTGTTTCAAATAAGGACAATAAAAAAAATCATTTACAAACGGTATATTTCAAGAATAAAGTCGTCATACAACTTATGTTGTGTTGACTAATTTCTACATTGTTTGAAATATAATAGCCTTATTTTTAATAAATAATGTTGACACTTTCTTAATTATAAAGTTTTGTTTGATTTGATTTTCACAATCTATTTTCATAAAAAATTTCTAAGAAACTAAAAGTTAAATTGGTGAACAAAAATTAAAAATACAATATTTTTATATAATTTTATCTTTTGGAGAGTAAAAATAATATATATATATATATATATTTGTTAATTTAGTTTTACAATTTAAAATAGTAAATTCTAAAGTAAAAATTAATATTATTTATTCACTCATTAAGTAGGTGAATTAGTTTTGCGATAATGATTTTCTGTAAGTGAATATGGCAATTGTTAACAAGTGAAATATTGAAAATGTGATAAAAAAAAAAGTGTTTTGATAAAATAAAATAAAAAAATTAAGGCCTTGTTTGATAACAGGTTATTTTAGTAATTTTTTGATATTTTGGTTAAAATATGAGGTAAAAAAAATAGTATGTTTGAAATAATTTTTTAATTTTTTACGAAAAGATATACAAAAAGTAAAAAGAGAAAATCTTTGATTTTTTAATATAAATTATTAGTTTTTAAATTTTTTTATAAATTCTTTTACTTTTAAACTAAAATAGTGAGTTGTCAAACCAGCCCAAAAGTGTGTTGAATTTAATACTTGAGGGTCCGTTTGGGAAGAGCTAAAGTGGTTTTTTTTGGCTATTTTAGTCACAAAAGACAAAATATGTTATTAGTCACAAAAAATAAAATATCACATCTAACCTATAATCATTACACTCTTTTCTCAAAAAAAAAATCAAAAAGGCCAAAAAAATCAAAAAATCTTTCCCAAACTAAGCTTTTTAGCTCAGGCTAAAATAGCTAAAAAAATCAAAAAATCAAAAAGTCAACCCACTCCCCAAACATATGCTAAATAGGTTAAAATAATTAATAAGACAAAATATCATATTAAATCCATAATCATTTCACTTTTTTTTTTCTTCTCACAAACATCGTATTCAAGTACAAAAAAATCCAATCATCTTTTCAAAAATAAAAATTTTAATCTATTAAAATAATCAAAAACTAAAGGGTGAATTACACTAACGGTCCTTATTGTTTGGGACTTGTATTATTTTGATCCCTAATTTTTCAATTGTGACACATTTGACCCTGAATTTTGAATCTTGTTCCAGATAAAGACAATTGAATATACTATTGGATTTTTCAAGGGCAAAGTTGTCAATTTGATAAAATATAAATTAATTTGATAAAAATAAATGTCAAAAATTTATTTTTGATTTTTTTAAAATTATTTCTACCTACTAAAGATAAAATTATATAAAATTGACAAATCTTTTAGACATTTATTTATTTATTTTTTACCAAATTAATTTTTATTATGTATTTGGATGATAATCATGTAAAATTAATTTTTAAACATTAATCATGTAATTTTTATCAATTTTACATAATTTTATCTTTAGTGAATAGAAATAATTTTTAAACATTTTAAAATATTTTTTTGACATTTATTTTTATCAAATTAATTTATATTTTATCAAATTGATGATTTTGCCATTGAAATTAAGTAATTGTATGTTTAATTGTCCTTATTTAAAATAAGATTCAAAATTTATAGTCAAATATGTCATAATTAAAAAGTTAATGACTAAAGTGATACAAACCCCAAACTATAAGACTTTTCGTGCAATTTGTCTAAAACTAAAATAACCTACCCTCATTGTTGGTTACAAAAAAAAAAAAAAAAATCCGATCATCTCTCTCTCCATTATGTTTAGGGATAGGCTCCTCTTCATTGCTGGTTACATAGCGCTTGCTGTTCATGTTCAAGTTTTTTTTTGTGTGAATTGTGTCACTAATAATCAAAATCAGCAGCAACTCGCCCTCCACAAAAATTATTGTGGAGATATCCATAACATCAGTTTCCCTTTTCGACTCAAAGCCCACGCACTTGATAATTGTGAAAACAAGTATTTCGAACTTGAGTGCGAGAACAATCGGACAGTACTACACTTGCTTTCCGGTAAATACTACGTCCAGGCCATCAACTACAGCAGTCAACTTATCAGCCTGGTGGATGTGGGGATACAGAGGAATAATTGCTCCTCTCTTCCTCTTCATTCTTTAACTTATTACAACTTTGCTTATTCAGTAGATCCATATCAAGGTGGTTGGAATGAAATGGCAGTGTTAGTGAGTTGTGAAAAACAGGTGAAATCTCCTCTCTACATAGACACTACTAGTAATATTAGTACGGCTTTCTGTGAAAACAGAGGAGGAGGAGGAGGAGTCAGTTCGTCATCGTTGAAAAAGCATTCATACTTTCTGATCGGAAGCTACAGTTCTCTGTCGTGGTCAGATGTTTTAAACTTGTGCAGCGTCGACGCGGCTTTTCCGACAAGGGAGTTGCGGAATCCAGATCATACTTTTAGACAACGTAACATTACGAGCTTGTTGGAGGTCAACAACATATTGGCTGATGGATTTGATCTTCAATGGGTATTCTACACCTACGGACAATGCAAACGTCAGCAACGTTGCTTCTCTAATTATCCTAAAAATGCCACCGCCGGCACTTGCCATCGCTTCTCCTTTCTACAGTATCTAGGTGCGTGCATCCAAGCCACTTTTTTTAATCTTTTTTTTTATTATTTCATTTTTTTTGTTTATAATAATGACCATTTCTTATTTATATATTAATGCTAAGGTCTTGTTTGTCATTCCTTAAAAAATTTAAAAAGTCAAAAAATTACTATCCTATTTAAGTCACATTATCTTATTTAATTCACATCACTTCTCTATCCTATCACTTCAAACCCAACACATACGTAACCCATATTTTATAAAAAGTCAAAAAATACACTTATTTAGAACATCTCAAATAACCTTTAAAAGAGCCTGTATAATATGTAAGTTAATTTATTTGTAAATTTAATTATCACAAATAATTATACTATGAGAGTTATAATTTTTGTTTAAAAAAATCGAGTTATAATCAAATATCACATGAAGTATAATTAAATAACTTTTGAATCATAACTAAAATAATATTATAATTAATATTATAATATATCATAATTAATAATACAATATGTCAAAACCATACCGGCATATAATTTTCCAAAAAGTTAACTATAACTTTTCATAATACATTATTTATAACTTTAGGGTGTACTGTAAATTTATTATTCATAATTTTACTAGAAAGTGACATATTACACACTTTAAACATTTATAATTTTCATTACAAAAGAGAATATATATATATATATATATGTGTGTGTGTATAGAAGGCTCACCTCCGGTCCATTAATTAGTTTTCACTCCACTTGGTGATCAAAATTGTTTAAAATTTAATACTTTTTGAGTAAATTATCTTTGTAAAAAGTTAAATTAATTAGATATTAGTTATTATATATTTAAATAAAATTTACTCTTAAAAAAATAGTGGGCATATATGAAATTGATAATAAATTGTTTATTTTTTAAGATAAATATGATTCAAACATGAGATTATTGATATCTAATTAATGGGTGTTTTGGAAAGTTAGTAAAAAGTTAGTTTTTGGCTTTTTACCAAGCTTTTTAGCTTTTTAAAAAGTCATTTGAGAAGTTGGTAAAAAGCTGACTTTTGACTTTTTAATTTAATATTTATTTATGGTGTCAAATCAAATTAAAATGACTAAAACACCCTTATCCAACATAAGAAATTTATTTTTTTATTTTTTTGTCATAGGCCCCAATTTGTAATTTCCCCACTTACGTTTTTATAACTTCCCAAACCAATTTTGTTGCGTTTTTGCCACTTGTGTTTTTGGACCAAAGATAAAAAAACGTGGCTTTTTATTTTGGTTCCCAAAACGGCACTAACTTAATATTTGCATAAAATGATTTAGGTTTCGTTTAGGAAGTGGGTTGATTTTTTTAGCTTTTTAACTATTTTAGACTATAGCTAAAAAGTTCGTTTAGATTAGATTTTTTTTAACTTTTTTTACTTTGTAGAGAAAAAATTAAAATAATTATGATTTAGATGTGATATTTTATCTTATTGACTTTTAAATTTATTTTGTCTTTTTTGACTAAATTAGACTCCAATCTCAAAAAAAAAAAAAAAAAAAAAAAAAAAAAAAAAAAAAAAAAGAGACTCATGCCAAACTAGTGCTTATTAAGGATTTGATAACTTTTAAGGTTTTATTTGGCATGTAAGTATCTTTATTTAGATAAGTGCATTTATTTGGGTCACATCACCTTTTTACTTTTTCTGTATATTTGTTCGTACAATATAAAAAAAATACTTATTTAGATCATCCAAACAACTCCTAGTGCCGTGTTTAGTTAGAGAATTTGAGGAGAGATTTGAAAAGGACGTGGAAAAATATAGATAAAATGTGAATAAAATATACATATATTTTACTTAGTTTCATATACCTTTTTCCTTCTAAATCCCTCCCCAAATCTCTCAATCAAACCCAAAGTAAATTATTTGGATCACTGAGTAGCAGTTGAAATAGGCTCGAAAAGTCCAAAACTGCACCCTCAGACTTGAGATTAGACTCATGCAAATATATATCTACACGCAAAAAGTCTAAAACAACATTGTTTTAAGATATTCGAGCCATTCGGATCATGAAAATTTGAATTATCAAGCATTGTTGTACAATAAAATTCAATACAAGTACCTACAATGTATGCATAAAAACCCTCACTATATATGTACGTGTAGAATTATTTTTTTAAAAAATATTTGAAATGTTAAAATTTTTTATCAAATGTCTCACGTGGATGTGAAACTCACAGTACGTGAGTTTTATATGGGTCTCACATCTATATAAGACATTTAGTAAAAAATTTGATAAAAATTTGATAATCTTTAGCGTTGTTGAAATAAGAAATTTTCTACATATTAGTGATGAGCTGATATCACCTTTAAAAAAATACATGAGAAAATAATAGTACATTTTAGAAAATTATTTCTTCCGTGTCAAAATAATAGTACATTTTAGAAAATTTAATTTTTTTGATAATAAAATTATTGCACTTTAAAATAATTAAATTTTCAAAATTATCTTTTGATAGTACATTTTTTGGAGAATATCAATTGTCATAATTGTACTTTTTGTATTGTTAATAAATTTAAAAGAAAGATAAAATAGAAAATTCATATTATTTTAGTCCTTAATTTTTGAAAATGAACTAATATTTTGAGATAATAAAAAATAAAATAAAAGACTAATATTTTGAGATGGATGGAACATTCAAAGTTGCGCATAGTTTATTTGTACAAATTCAAAAACAAAAAGCACGATAGAGCAAATTATTTGACATGTTTTTGAAATATGGTTAAAAATTGGTATTTTTTTTTTTAATCTTTTTTTGACTTTTTTAAAAAAAATATATAAAAAATATGAGAAGTAATGTGACTTCTTCGTTTGGCATTGACTTTTTTAGTTGATTTTTTTGTGTTGGGACGTTTTGTAGCCTCGTTTGGTTTGGTTTTTTTGACTTTTATGAAAGAAAAAGTGTAATGATTATGATTTGGATGTAATATTTTGTCTTATTGACTTATGTAGTTAATTTTATCTTTTTATACTTTTTAAGCCAAAAATCAAATGCCAAACAAAACTTTAAAATGAATTAAAAATTAGCTTTAACTCTATTGTCGAATTGGCCCTTTGAAATGATAGACAACACAAGGTTGTGAATTTAAATGAGGAATCAGGCTTTGGGTTTAACTAGTTAATTTCTACTAGTTTCTATCAGTTTTATGCTCTCTTTTTCACATTAATATCCTCTATATTTCAAGGGCCTAGTAATGCCTCGAGCAAATTACACTAACAGTCTCTGTAATTTAGGACTTGTTTGAATTTTAAATTTTATTTTAAATAAGAATAATCAAATATGTTTTCTTTGTAAATGGTCCATTTCAAGAGTAAAGTCATTATACAACTTATTTTGTGTTGGTTAACTTGTACGTTATTTGAAATGTAATGTTCTTTTTTTTTAATGAATAGTGCTTGAACTTTCTTGGTTATAAAGTTTTGTTCGGTTTAATTTTCAGAATCTATTTTCATAAAATTTTTCTAAGAAACTAAAAATTAAATTGGTGAAAAAAATTAAAAACACATCATTTTTATATAATATTATCTTTTGGGAGGGTATAATTAATTTTTTTTCATATTTATTTTTTTAAAATTAGTTTCTAGCTTTAGATTATTTCATTTTTACCTCTATACTTTTACACGATTTTCAATGACTCCCCCCAGACTATTCTTATTTTCACGTGTACCCCCATACTGTTTAAGTTACTATCAATTTTTTCCCTGCCGTCACATTTGAAACGGAAAACGTTAAAAAAAATTACATTTTAGCCCCAAATTTAAAAAAAAAAAGATGCAAACCCAACATTTCCTACTAGCAAACCATCACCACCAACCACCACTTTAGGCCTTTCTATCTCCTTCGTCATAACTTCGTTTCGCCTCATTTTTACGTCGTTGGATTCAACTCACGATCTAGTTTTCATGTCACATCTCACACGTCTCGTTCTTCCTTTTTTTGCATGTATCATAGCTTCAAAAGTTGATAAAAGAAAAGAAAAAAAAAAAACTTTTCTTTTCATTTTTGATTTTTCTTCGAGCCATCTTTCGGACTTCATATCTTATCAATTCTTGACGGTTCTACTTCATTCTTTCGCCATTCTCTTCACCTTACTTCCTACTTCGTCCTATACTACCTCGCTTTCTCACTTCTTCGTGTAATGGGCGGTTTTGGTATGCCGAAAGTTGTCCAAAAACTAATTTTGAAAATTTCAGAACATTACAACCTATATGCTGTAGTTCTGTGAAAAAAAGTGTTTGGTACCCTTCCCTTACATCTCTTGCCACCATATCTTGACACTTCCATCTGCGGAGCCGGTGAAGACCAACCCATGAAATCCGACAACCACCGCATTCACTGCGTCATCATGAACATGAATCGATTCCAAGCATTTTGAATTCGATACTCTCCAAACCTTCATTGTCTTATCCCAAGAAGCTAAGTATAACAAAGATTTGTCTTCGCTCAAACTAAGACGCGAAATCACATCGAAATATTTGATCCAAACCGTATTTCAATTCCTTCTCACCTCAACATAATTGCTCGGATTGATCGAGCTCTTTATATAAGGTTTCAACATGGGTAAAGTCCCGATTCGTTTGTGAATTGTTAGATTCTTCGCAGACACTTTCCATAATCAAATCTTCCCGTCTTGATGGCCATGAAGATGATTTTGTTTGCAATTACAATGGCTTTAACTAACCCACTATTCGATTTGAACCCAGAAAAATCCTTCTGATTCTTCCATACCCGAATTTTCTTGCTATCAAAACCAGTGTATAATAAGTCGCCTCTTCTTGAGCTTTTCATGGTTGCGTTCTCTCATGTATGGAAAGGTTTTTTTTGGGTGAAATGAATTTGGAAAAGAAACTATTTGGTTGTAATGGAAATGAAGAAAGAATAAAGAGAAAAACAAGGTTCTAAGAAAACCATAAGTGATTTGATTTTTGAAAAAAAAAAAACACAATAAGGAAAGAGAGAAACAGAGAGGAGTGATTAAAGAATCAAAAGGTTGGAGAAGATGGTGTCATATACAGTCATATATATATATATATACAAATAGTAGATGAGAAAAAAAGGTTGTAATGGTAATTCTTTGGGGCAGAGGCTTAATGGTTTACCAAGGGTCCTAAGTTTTTTGTAATGTTTTGAAATTTTCAGAATTAGTTTTCGGACAACTTTCGGCGTACCAAAACTGCCCATTATACAAAAAAGTGAGAAAGCGAGGTAGTGTAGGGCGGAGTAGAAAGTGAGGTGAAGAGAATGACGAAAGAATGAAGTAAAACCGTTAAGAATCGAGAAAGATATGAAGTCCGAAAGCTCAAAGAAAAGTCAAAAATAAGAAGAAAACTTTTATTTTTTTTTATCAACTTTTAGAGCTCCAATAGCATGCAAAAGAGGAAGAATGAGACATGTGAGATGTGATACGAAAGCTAGACCGTGAGTTGAATCCAACGACGTAAAAATGAGGCGAAACAGAGTTATGACGAAGGAGATAGAAGGGCTTGAAGTGGTGGTTGGTGGTGGTTGGTGGTGATAGTTTGTTGGTAGGAAAGGGTGGGTTTGCATCTTTCTTTTGAAATTTGGGGCCAAAATGTAAATTTTTTTAATGTTTTTCGTTTCAAATGTGACGACAGTGGCAAAATTGATAGTAACTTAAATAGTATGGAGGTACGCGTGAAAATAAGAATAGTTCCCATGTCATTGAAAATTGTGTAAAAGTATAGAAGTAAAAATGAAATATTCTCTTCTATTTTTTCAAAACTTAAACATGGCGACAACTTTAATGTCATTATTTAATCAATCCATTAAATCAAAAAATCCAAAACTAAAAATATTTCATATATTAAACATATCAATTACACAAACCATAAAAAAAAATTTGTTAACAACAAATACAACCGTTTATTACTTGATAATCATCCAAAAATATCAACAAAAACAACTACCAATTACATGAATATCATCCAAACACATACTAAAAATTAATTTGGTAAAAAAATAAAAATGTAAAAGATTTATCATTTTTATATAATTTTATTTTTGAGTAGAAATAATTTTTAAAAATTCAAAAATATTTTTTTAACATTTATTTTGTCAAACTAGTTTAAATTTTATCAAATTGACCACTTTACCCTTGAAATATAACAATTATATCTTCAATTGTCCTGGTTTGAAATTAGATTCAAAATTTAAAGTCAAATGTATTACAATTGAAAAATCAAGAATCATAATGAAATAAAATCTAAATTACAGAGACCATAAGTGTAATTCGTCCTAATGTTTTTGATCTCTAACACTATTTATTCTTTCAAAAATTGCAGGTTGGTTGAAATTTTACTTGACGGGTAAGTTTTCTCCCTGCTCCATCTATGTCTGTTTCATTTCTAAGCTGCCCCGGGCCAGACACCGCCTTCATAATACTGTTTCATTTTCTCAATTATTTCACAAATCTATGAAACTTAAATTTTAGATGCTTGATTTGATCAGTCTAGAATTGTTTTAAAAATTTATAGTGCAAATTATCATTTTCACCCTCTTGACTTTTATTCAAATTCTATTTTTATTCTTATATTTTATTTTTCACTCATTTAAAATAGTAGGTGACAGAGAAAAACATTAAAACAAAAGTTACAAATCTAATAACTTAATATTGTAGTTAGAAGATTAAAAAAAAAAGGTTTGTTTCCAGCCCAAAATGTCTGGACTGGTGAGTGTTGTTCAAGTCCGTGGGGTTTACCATGGTTTTATTTTGATGGTCTGAATATTTCATTTTGTATGATCCTTTGCATATATTATTTACACAAAAAAAATTAAGTAGATCCGACAATCATAATTTGTTTAGTTTATTGAAATGTCTCTAAAAAAAATGGACTATAAGTATATTTTTTAAAACAGGCCATTTATTTTTTGGGTGACGGACAATAAATTGAACAAATTAGAATTATCGGATTGACGTAAATTTTAAATGTTCAAACTATTGAAATATGATATGTAATGGGCCTCACGAGCTCGAACAGTATATGAACTGATGGATAGCCCAACCCCCAAAACAGAGTGTAACTTGCAGAGTGTAATTACCGTTGGGGATTTTTTTTTCAAATAGAAAAAAAAAAAGAAAAAGGGTATGCAGTTAATGCGCAAGGTCATTCTGAAAGTAAATCACCTGATAAAAATTCTTATTGTACAAATTGAAAAGCAAGAAGCTAAATGGAATACTAGTTTGTCAAATTAAAGGAGAAATCAGGCTTTGGGCTTGACCTTTTATTTCTTACTAGTTAATTTAAGTTTCTATCAGTCTAGTGCTCTCTTTTTATCTTTTTTTTCTTGATTGGAACTCATGTTCTATTTTTCACCCCTTAATTGTTGTGCTTACGTAAAAATAAATATTTTAGTAAAAGAATCATTCCATTTCACCTTCATTTCAATGAATCAAATATAAATAAATGTTACATTTGTCACATTTTTAATCTACCACCTTATGTGTCAATATTGCATTGAAATAGACATAATTGAGAAGACCTATTATCTGCATCTACGGAATAGTAATGCTTTGGTCTCTAACATTGTTTGTTTCTGTCAAAAAATACAGACACGTTGAGTGCTGACCTCGCCTGTAAGTATTCTCCCTTGTCCATTCATATCTATTTCATTTCAAAGTCACTACTACCTATAAGAGAGGGTGAAATTTTTGTATATTTGGGGGCCAATTCATGTCATGATGATAGCCACTAAAAAGATGTTTGAAAAAATAAAAAACATGGTTTTAGTGACAAATTGGTCCCAAAATCATTATTTTTGACACAAATTTTGGTTGTAAAACAATAATATTAAGGGTGGTATTACAAACACCAATTAGTATATAAACATATGTTATGACATTATTACTGACTCCACCCATTATACAAATTACAAATACCCAAAATCTCTAAAATTATGTTACATCATTTGTTAGTATACTAATTAGTATACCAATTGGTGCATATAGCATTATTTTAATATTAATGTTCAAATTGTGTCACTAAAAATCTAATAATGACACTTCTGATAACAAAAATATTTATTCACTAAAAATGTATTTTTGTCATTAAATATTTGTCTTTAAAATATTAAATTGTTGTAGTGAGCAATCACATACCATTTAATTCAAAAGTTGTTTGGAAGAAAACAATAAAAGCCCTTCATTCATTTTCAAAATTTTGTCGCTAAAAAATTTATTTTTGACTTTTCAAAATGATCTTTTAACGACTATCCTTACAAGTCCCGATAACAGAAATTGATCCCTAAATGTCATTCACAACAAAATTTTTACTTTTAAGAACCAAAAAATTAATTCCTAAAACTCTTATATGTTGTAATATCATCATACCAATGTTCAAATTGTTGGATCTCATCCAGTTACTTTTCTCATTCTTATCAAGACGCTTTTAATCACTTTGATAATATCTTTGATAATTAAGACTAATTGAATATTTCATTATGTTTAGTTTTAAAGGTGTGTTTCTTTCGAGTTCACGTCCCAGGGAAGCAAACTACCATTTGTCGATGTTAGTTCCTTTCTCGTTTCTGGATTTTAGTTTAATTTATTTGTAATTTTTATGCCTGTCGGCTGAATCTTGTTTAATTTTTCTTACAGATCGTAATTGGGGTCTCGAGCTCAAAATCATAGGTAAATTACTCCTCTTTTTAACTGGAAAAAGTTATTTTGCCAATTGATTTTGGGGGTGGATTAGGCCTAGGCACCGACTTGATGGGCCGTCAAGCCTGCTTTTTTAAGGACTTAACATTGATATTTAAGCTCACAAAGCTGGGTTAGGATGACTTTTTTTTAAATTTTTTATCGGCAAATTTTTTTTTTATTTTTTTATTGATGGCAACAAGCATATATTACATATGAGTGATTATTCAGTACTCCCGGAGTATGGACACGTGATGCTCTATAAGATTTTGATTGGTGGAGAAGCATAATGGCCCACAATTTATGTTGGGGATGAGAAAATAAGGCTAAGTAATTGGTGATTAGTTTGGAATATGACTACGGGATACTCGGAAAGTATTGAATAATTTCCCCATTACATATAGGCATACATCCTAGGTTACATATGGCTATTTAATAAGCATACTTTAAAAAGTAATCTTAGAATGACATTTTAAGTCTGTTTATAAGTGGGTGTTTGGGAAGTTGCTATTTTAATAGGCTATTTTAGTTTTTGACTATTTTAGGAGGCTAAAATTTTTGTGTTTGGGAAGAAAGTTGAATTTTTTTTAGTTAGATGTGATGTTTGTGAGAGAAAAAATGAAATAATTATGGGTTTGATGTGACATTTTGTCTTATTAGTTATTTTAGTCTATTTTGTCTTTTAGTGCTATTTTAGCCAAAAAAGTCAAAAAAGTTTATTCCCAAACGCCCCGTTTGGTTGGATTTAGAAATGTTTCTTGTGGCTGGATTTGACCCAATTGTTTACATATATGGGAAATTTTATGCACCATATGCCCCATAATTACGACTTTTATAATATTTGATTATGACATATTATGGTGTTAATTATGATTTGGTTATATAACTTAATTATACATATTGTGGTATTAGTTATCACTTAATGTAATATTAGTTACGATATTACTTTAGTTATGATCCAATAACTCTTTGATTATATCTTATTATGGTGTTTAGTTATAACTCTTTTATTTATTGATTTATTTCTACTGACTTCCACAGAATTGAGTTATGACATTTATAGGTACTAAATCCACAAATGTCATAACTTGTTTATAGTACACACCCTTTTACCATAATATTACCTATTAATATGTATACACTTATACAATTTACTTAGTTTTATGTTTGAAAAAAAGAAAAAAAGAAAAAAAGAAAGATGCACTCAAGATAGAAAATTTATTTATCTAAATTTATACCTGGGAGGATATGGCTTAATATTTAGTTTTTGTGGGAACTCAACTATAAAATTATTAATTCTAAGTTTTATAATATTAGTTTTTATTTAATATATGGGCTTGTTGGGTGGGCTCGAGATTGTAATACTATTTTAGGATTGGAGTTAGACTAGGTTGGACTTGGGTACAAGAGTTTTCTATATGTTTCTTAACTTAGAGCTGATTGAGTTTGAACCCGACCTGATGTTTGTCCACCACTAGGCTAAATGCTTCCAAATTCTAACAATGGCAAGACAAAAAATGATTTTTAATTTGCCATCTTGTGATTTTTATATACAGGAGGAATCATTTTGGCAAGAATTCTATTTGCATTATGTGCGTTTGCACTTTTAATCCGTAAGTTTAAGAGAAGGCATTTATCGATGTTCGATAACATTGAAGGTTATCTACGAAGTCAGAATCACCTCATGCCAATTAGCTACTCTTACGTAGACATTAAGAAGATGGCCAAAGGTTTCAAGGACAAGTTGGGAGAAGGAGGCTATGGTTCTGTCTACAAAGGAAAGCTTAGAAGTGGTCATCTTGTAGCGATAAAAGTATTGGGCAAACCCAAAGCCAATGGACAAGAATTTATCAATGAAGTTGCTACCATAGGAAGGATTCATCATGTTAATGTGGTTCAGCTAATTGGATATTGTGCAGAGAGATCTAAGCGAGCTCTCATATATGACTTCATGCCAAATGGGTCTCTGGAAAAGTATATATTTTCTCAAGAAGGATATATCCCATTGAGTTGTAAGCAAATGTATGAGATTTCTTTAGGAGTGGCTCGCGGGATTGAATATTTGCATCGGGGTTGTGACATGCAAATCTTGCATTTTGATATCAAGCCTCACAACATTCTTCTTGATGGGAATTTCACTCCAAAAGTCTCTGATTTTGGGCTTGCAAAATTGTATTCAACTGATGATAGCATTGTGAATCTGACTGCAGCAAGGGGAACAATGGGTTATATGGCTCCAGAGTTGTTTTACAAAAACATTGGAGGCATTTCATATAAAGCTGATGTTTATAGTTTTGGAATGTTGTTAATGGAAATGACTAGTAGGAAAAGGAATTTGACTAATCATACAAGCGAAATTTACTTCCCTTCTTGGATTTATGTTCAATTCAAAGAAGGGAGGGACATAGAAATGGGAGAGACCAATGAGGAGGAAGTGATGATGGTGAAGAAGATGATAATAGTAGCTTTGTGGTGCATACAAATGAAGCCTAGTGACCGTCCTTCAATGAACAAAGTTGTAGAGATGCTTGAAGGGAATGTTGAACAACTGCAAATGCCTTCTAAACCTTTTCTATGCCCAGAAGAGATGCTAACTGAAGATCATAGAATTGACACAAATCCTACAGATTTGCCTATGCCATCACGTGAATGCATAAATTCCATCACTTTGGGTGTAAGTGAACCTTAAATGGTTTCATATCAAATGCATCATATTTAAGTAAATTAATTGTTGGCATCCTCAGTTGCTTATGGAATTGAGGTTGCCTTATTAAACATATGATGGGGAAACTATATATGCATCCTCAATTAATTGTTGGCATCCTACATTTCAATTTTTCTTGAAAGGTTTTCCTAGTTAAAACTAGCTTGATTGGAGCTATGCAAGTAAGAATTTTTATTTAATTTAGATTTTTTTGTCATTGTTTAGAGATATTGCTTTGACACTACAATTTTTAATTGTAAGTTATGGCATTTACAATAAAGAGAAACAAATCAAATACATAAAATATAAGATAAATGTCATTCAACAATATGCTAACTTTCATACATAGAGGGAAAGAGATCAAATCCACTACATGGAATAAGAATTACAGAGCTTTGAACATCTAAACTCAACCAACCTACAATAAACACCCTAACAAAAAATATAACACATACCTCCACAACTTTGGATCAGAAGTGTTGCCCCAAATGTCTGCATGGGCCTAGGTGAAGCATGATTTGGCTTTTTACTTCGATTTTCAACTTTAACCCTCCACCTCCATAAAAAGCCCCCTTACATTAACTTTGAATGTGTAGTCAAAATATAAGGCATACCACAACAAAAGCTTTCACCTTTGAACCAAAAAGTAAATTGGAAAAACTAAAGATGAATTTTCCATAACAAATGTTTTAAAAGAACATCGTTTTATAGGATGATAATATCTAGGAAAATATTTAGCTACATTTTTTTCTTTTTAACCTCATTAATCCTTGGAAATTTGTACAGATTTAGTGGTCTTGCTTTGCTTAGCTAGTTGACTTGTAAGTCAACTTCCAACTCTCTATCTCAAATCCGTTTGAACAGTTACTTTTTTTTTTTTTTTACTTATTAAGTTCTTAATTCTACAGTAATTAGCTACTTTCACTTTCTTCTTTTTTTCTTCTTGCACTATGTCCATACTCGACCCTCCAACACTACGAACGCTTCGTTTGTTTCGGTAGAATTTTTTTTAAAAAAAAAATCTTTATTTTTTAGTTTTTAGGATAATGAAAAATGAAAAATGAAAAATAAATTTATTTAAATGAGAAATGTTATTTAGTTTTAAAAAGTGTAAATTATTTTGGAATTAAAGTTTTAACAATTCCATCCCAATCACTCTATTAATATGATTTTTTTTTAATAATAATTGTGGGTGTTAATTTCTGACCACACAACTAAAGGGGAACTTAGCTGGAGAGCACCGGTAGAATAAATTGAGCCAAACATCTACCAACAAGAAGATGAGAATACCGCGGTGGTTCGTCCACCCGGGGGCACTCTGACGATCAAGTCAGTAAATCATATCTCTCACAGATATCAAAACAGTACTTAATCTCACAAGAAAAAACATACTTGAGACCCATGGGGGTGCCTCTCTTTTAAAGCCAACGGTGCCATGGTCCCCTAGAAGTCTCACTTCATAGGACTCATGTACTAAGCTTATCTCGGACTCTCAACAAGATGGGAATAAACTCTCTAGGAGCCTTATCCTTATCCAGACTGAATACCCTCTCTTACCTAGGACCCTTGTCCCCCTATTCGAATATCTCGGGATTCCGATATTACCGCAGATCATCTCGGCAATATCGTAATCACCTCGGCAACATGACCTGCCTACGTGGCATCTCAGTGTCACCTTAGCCACGTGGCGTCAATCTCAAAATACTTCCCCACAATTGCCTCCTATGTTCTATTACCTTGGCAACTTGAGATGATGGAACCTATATCGTCTGATCTCCCAACATGTCTGCTAAACAACATGTTCAGAGATACTCTTCCGACTTAGATCATTACTCTTTGGTGTTCAAGAAATAGGGACTCAAGTGTCCACCTTATCAAGAATTAAGAACCGAGTTCTTTCAACATCTTAACTGGGATAGCTTCGTTGGCCATGGTCACCACCCTGCCAGTTGAAGAATTTCAAGAATCTCTACTGCTCATGATCTATCACGTATCGCCATTTTAACCGTTTCCTCCACGTGTTTCCATTCTCATTGGCTCGTACCTGGTACACACCATCAAGTCACGTCGACTCTGCCCACGGCACCTGATAGGCACGTCGTTCAAGGCAGTCTCATTACGTTTTGTCGCCTTTTCAATTTTTGACAAAACCTCTCATTTCTCTCTTTGTCTCTTCACTTTTGCCACTACCACTCTTTCTTTTGCCTCAAATTTTCTCTCTCTAAAAATCCTTCCCAATCCGCCATTTTCAAGCCCTTCGAAGCTCTACAATTGTTCCATTCATCTCCTCCAGTGAGCCTTTCACTACTTGATTCCGGCGAACATGAATCCGACGTCCGTTTCTTCGGCTCCGCTTTGTAAGTGCCCCATTTCTTTCCGTTCTTCTTTTACTACCTTCGACTGTATTCTTTTCTGAACTGTTACATGCACGCACTGAATGTCTTTTGCCCTGATATCTACATTTTCCCTCATGTTCTCAGTATTAATTCATGTTTCTCACCCAACACTTTGCACTCGATAGTTCAATGTTTATGAATTTTGTCACGTCTTGTGCATTGCCTTGGTATATAAATCTATTGAAGTTAAGTCCGCTCTTATTTTGTTCATCTTCATCTTGAATTTGTGAATTCTCTTATTCACCTACACTTTGAATCGATTTTGAACCCTATTTTGTTTTCTTTGTCTGTTTCTAGATTTCTGCCATTGATTCTTGTGTTCTTCTTTATTTTTTTTTTGAATCTCTGTTCATCTTGCTTGTTTTCCAGATTTTGGTCTCTGATTCTTGCTGATTTCAGTAATTCATACATAGAATTAGGATTGGGATTTGTTTAGAAATTACATACTTAGGAAAACTGAAATAGAACCGCCCTTAGATCTCCAAAATCCTCACCCTAGCGCTTGTTAGGGGTTTGTCGAGGTCCTCAAACCCATACTAAACCCTTTCTCACAACAAACATTACCACATTTACCCTAGCCGAGGTCATAGGCATGTTTAAGTGGAGGGTAGACTCGCCAGCAAACTTGAGTATTTCCGCTAAGAGTTCTCCATTCTAGTCGACATTCAACTTAGGTTGGCTGAAAAAGAGGATTCCATTATGCCCGGCGAAACCTACATGTCATTTCCTGTCGTGTCCATCATCGAGGGTGGAGTCAGATTCCCCCTTGATATCTTCTTCAGAGAGGTCCTTCATTTTTGTAAATTCAATCCCATGCAGTTAGCCATCAACACCTTCAGGGTCATCAACGATGTTGCGGAATTGGCACGCCGAGAAAAAGTTAAGATTACCATGTCCGACCTTCAATATTTCTATACCATGTGTGGCCTCAAGTCAAAAAATGGTATACTTACTACTTGAAACCCAGATCCACAAAATACAAACTTATAGGTGATATCCTCGACTCCAACAAAGATACTGGAGATAATTATCTGATTGTCTCGGGAAACTAGAAATTTGTGCCGGATGACGATTTTAATCTCTTTCCTCTGTGCCGAGGAGTTTTTAGAGACGATAAGGGTAAGAACTTACTTAACCCGAAGTCCTTTTCTTTTTAACACTTAGCGATTTATTGTTGTTATCTGTTCTAATATGCTTATTATTGTTTTTGCAGCTCTTCCTCAGCCACCGAAAGGCTTCTGCCAATCATACGGCCCTAGCTAGGACCTTGCTCATCTTCTCGACTTGTCAATTGACAAACGGAGGGCTCCAATCCTCCTGAACTACATGCCAACCTACTGTTCCCCTCTTCCCAATGTTCCATAGAGAAGCCAAACTCCATCATCTACATCAACTCCACCAGCCACCTCTTCTCTAAGGCCAAATCAGGCCTTCACCTCAAATCCAATCAATGAACCATCCACCTCAGCTCTATACTTTCCTCCATCTCAGCGCCAACGCCGCTACTGACCTCCGAACGCACCTGTCAGCAGAACTCGTAGCAGGAAGCGTCGAGGTTCAAACGTATCAGTTGTTGACCCAGCAAATCCGCCAATAGCCCTCCCGGCTTCAAAATTGGCACCGGCGTAACCGTTGTTGCCACTTCAGAAGAGATGAGTCAAAAACCCGCTATAATGGAAGATCTCCTGGCCAACATAGTCACGATCCAGTCCACTCCATCTTCCCAATCCAAGCCCAAGCTAAAGCGGGTGGCTAAGGCCACAGTAACCCAAGTTTCTTTCGACTTCGAAGACATAGTGCCAATCTCCAAATTGGCTGAAGCCGAGAAAAGGCCTATCGAGGCCAAGAAGAGGCCTGCCGAGGGTGAATCATCCGACGCTCCGCTGTTAAAAAAGATGAGGTTTGAGGGCGAGGAAGGCCAAGATGGTTTCCATCTTGAGGAAATGTGGGACCCTGCAGTCATGGTCGGCGATCGACCTATGAAAGCCAGTGATAGTGCCATCGACAATCTAGAGGTTGGTGTCATCTTGTCAACCGCCGGGCTCCTACCAGCCGACATAAACTGCATAACTGAACTGAATTAGTATGAAAATTTTGCTTCAATGATGCAGCATTCGGTCCTGATAAGTCCTCAACTTTTTCCTTTCCATTCAACTTTCATTTCAGTTTTTGTACTTAACCAAAATTTTCTAACTTTTTTTTTTTTTTTGCAGGCCATCCAGCATTTACATTCCCATGTGGTCAAAGCCAAGGCGATCAAGAAAGAGTTGGTCAAAAAGACCCAGGAGGTAGCAGGCTTCTTGGCTTCACTTAATAAGGCCGAAACCAAGATCAAGGGTATGCTAGATAAGGCCAATGCCGCCAAAGTTGCCCAAGGTAAGGCCAAGGATAGAACCAAGGTTGCCAAGGCCATTGTCGAGGCTGTTGCCGAGGCCATTGTCAAGGTTGCCAAGGCCAAGGCTAATGTTGCCGAAGTCAGGGTGGCAGAAGTTGAGGCCAAGCTCGAAGCAGAACTGAAGACAAAAGAGGCTGAGATAAAGGCAGCTGATGAAAAGGCTTATGCGGAGGGGTAGGCTGATGTGCATGAAGCTTACAAAAAGCAAGTCAACCTTGCCTGCAACAAGGGATATTATCTCGGCTAGATGGAAGCCCTCAAAAAGTTATCCGTCCCCAAGGACTCGCCCCTCTGTGACATCGGCGACCTTGATGTGCCTATCCCTTCCTCTCCCAACCAATCCGGCGATGAGGCTAAGGAAGAAGAATCCGATGCTGAGGAGATTCAAGGCAAAGACACTGAGGCAGAGGATGCTGAAGAAGAGAATGAGGTT